AACTCATAGAGACCCTCTGCCTCAGATTCCTGAGTACACGCACCAAAACACCCAGATTTTTCCATCTTCTTAAAGTGGGTAGGTTCAAATGGATTCACCCGGGGTCAGTATGCAGGTGAGCCTGCAGAATGACCAAACTGATGCAGATTTGCTTAAACACAATAAAATCTAAACCTATTGGGAATTTGAAAAAGAGAAATGTGATTGCTCAGGTACAACTAAAGCCCTGGAAGATGGGGAAGGACCCGCACACACACACCCAACTCTCCCAGTCACAAGTCCCCTAATGGCTTCCCAGCTTACTTTACAATAATTTCACAGGTCAGATGTCCAGGCAGTGAGTGTATGGTGGCTGATGGTTTTTGTCAAAGAAGGCTGCACCCGCATATATTTCATCTCACTTTATTTTCCAGTGAGCAGTGGGGATGGGGGTCTGTTTTCTTTTCTCAGGAGCCTCTCACCAATAGAACACAGCAGAGGTGATATGCGACCTCTTGGGCCATGTCGAAAGAGGCAGTCTGGCTTCTGGCCAGGCTAGCCCTTCCTGAGGAAGTCTGCCATCTGCTGTGAGGAGATCCAGCCACTTGGAGGCCATGTAACAATGTTCTGGCCACCACTCACTGCTTGATTCTCAACTGAGAGGTGATACAAACTGAAAGACATGGCCATGCATGAGCCTTCAGGTGGCTCCATTGTTTTATCATTGTTTGAAGCCACTAACTTTGGGGCAACTTGTTCCATAGCAATTGGTAACTACTACATGTGCTTACCAGAAGAAGGTTCCTTGAGCAAGTCTCGCAGACACTTGTCCTTGTACTGAGCCCACTTCCGAGTTGTCTCCTCAAGCAGAGATCCTGTAACCTGTGAAACAAAAACATGGTCACCCTGGTTAGCTGCAAGCTGGGATGTAGCATTTTATCTCACACCATGATCCTACATCCCTTCCCACTGAAGTGTCCATGGTGGCTTTTGCTTAGAAACAAGGGCTTTGATGTCTTGCACGCTGTTGTAAAAACACATGAATTTTGCATTGAAGCATATAGGTCTTGATATAAATATGGAATTTTTCTTCAAAATCTTTATGTGAGGTTGACGTTTCAAGAGGATGCAATATATTTATCTTAAATTTGTACACCTTCCACACCTGTGGCTACACATCTCTAACTCTGTGAAGATCCCAAAGAGAGAAGCATCCCTCTAGGAGGGGCTCAGTAAAACAACTGGGAAAGGCCCAGACCCTCTAGGTGCTTGTGTGTCCTTAGACAAAGCTATAGAGTACACAGAGTCCATGATGCTGTAGTGAGACCCTGGTTTTGGTTTGGTTTGGGTTTTTCCCATGATATTGACTTTTCTGTGCCCCAAAAATACAGCCAACACTTTTGGGCTTTGCAGATGATTGAGGTGCCTAGCAGTTGCTCACTGTAGACATGCACCATTTCTTTTCATTTCAAAAAGGGCCTTTTCCTTCCACTGTTCAGTTGACTTATCTTTTGGGGGGCCACATTGTGTTTTGGTTTAAGGAGGAGTTTCAGAAAATGAGGAGCATCTTGTCCTAAAAAGCATATGGGGGCTACTGAAGAAAAAGCAGTTAAACAATCAGCTGGGACTCAAGGCCCAGGACCATTCCACCCCACCTCCCGGAAGCTCTTGGCCCATGTGGTTGCATCCTTGGCTTTGAGGTTTTGTTTGCTCTCACAAGGGAAGAATGCTTTCTTGGGCCAGGTAGACAAGTCACAGAATAAGGTAGGATAGATACAACCATCACCATAAATAGGTGTAGCCATCAATAGTGAAATGACTTATTGTAGCCCTACTGGAGATGTTCTACCTAAATGTATCAAAACTTAATCACACACACACACACACACACACACACACACACACACACAGAGTCCCTACTGCAAAAATATACCCTATCTGTGCATCCCAAGGTTGGTCTGCTTTCACCTCATAACCAGTCAGACCCACCCTCTCCCTCCTCTGTCCAGCACACCGGCCTTCCCACATCAGCGGTCCTGCTGGGGTCTGGAGGTGGCTTCTTTACACCCTTCCAAGAGAATTGCACAACCAGTTTTTTGAAGAAGAGCTTATGCAATGACCACTGACCAGATTTCCCCGAATTTCTCCAATCATGATACCCTTACTGTTACAGTAATTTTTTCCCAACACTCCTAAATCAAAAGACAATCTTCAGTCCCATTTGTTAAGTAGAGAAGTCCAAGCAACTCATAAATATTTATGTCTTAACAACCGAATACATACTAGATATTGCACAAACGTCTCAAACTTTAGAATCAGATTGGACACCGCCACTGTTTCCTGATCCAGGCTGGTTTCATTTGGTGCATACTTGCTTTTTGTCATAGTGTCTACTGAAAACCTCATTTTCAGGGTTAGGGTTTGTTTTTGTTTTTTCAGTTTTTCAGATACCACATCGTCAAAAAGAATGAAATATGATCTAATACGCAACCATGACCACTAGGAAGGCATTAGCAGTTTGTACAGAGTCTGATAAATGTCAGATACCACTGTGTGTCCTCAAACAATTAAAATATCTAGTGTTACCCCTGTGAACTCAAAGTGGTACCCCACCTTAGCACACAGTGCAGGAACCAGGGGCACAGCCATTACGGGGTAGCGAGGATGATATAATAATTGCGTTTATCTTCTAGTTTCAATTTGCAATGTGCTTTGAATCTCTGCTAATAATACCACTCTTTGAATAATGGCCCAAGAGACAATTAGTAAGTTTACTAACATAGTGTTTAAAGAAATAAACATGCTAATGGGACAGTACCTGACTTATTATTACAAAATCAGCAGATGGTTTCAAATTTAAACAATGAGTTTACAGAATCTTCAAAACTCATCAAAGTACGACTCTTGCTTATATAAGATGCTAATTATATCCTTAGAGACCAGTGAAGACACAGTAAAATCAGTCCCTCAACTAACACTTTCCTGCACCCTTCCTCTGCGCCATAGCTCATGGTCATGGACAAAAAGAAAAACAAACTGAACTAAAAACTACTGGATTTGGTCCGCCTGGGGGAGCTGGACAACTCAGTCTGTCTTCCTAGATGATTGGAGAGCAACCAAGTTCAATCACAGTGAAGTGCCAGATTCTGAGGAAAGGAGACATATGGGTGGACCTTTTTCTAGCTGGAAAAGTTCAGCCTGGCCTTGATTTCTCCTTTTCTTTGCAAAGGCAATCAATACCCACAGCTAACTTTACTGAAAAGGAACTAAGAAAAAAAGAGAACAATCCTGTTGACTCTGTTTAAATAAATCTTTCTTTATTAGGGAAAGAATATGCTTCACTGTAGGTGCAGTAGAAATCACAGGTACCAAAAAGGGGACAAAGTGGAAGCATAATCTCATTACTCAGGAATTATCATCTACTTCCAGAAACTTCTCTGCACATACACACATTATTTAATATTTTACCTTTTTCTGTTTTATTCCAACCAAAAAGGAAATCATACTTTGGCCTTTTATTTTTCACTTAGATATATTATGAATATATTTCTATTTCAAGAAATACACAACACATAAAGTACCCTCATCCAGGTACATAGTAGTCAGTGGTTGAATGTGATCTGATTTAGTTTTAAAATCCTTCAGCATCAAATATTCAAATTGTTTCCAAATAACATCCTTTTCCAATATAAAGGGTTCAGTGTTGAAAATTCTGAAAGCAGGGGTGGAAGTATAGCTCAGTGGTAGGGGCATTGCCTAGCGTGCATGAGGCCCAGGATGTGATCCAGAAGGAAGGGAGGGAGGGGGGAAGGGAGGGGGAAGGGAGGGAGGAAGAAAGGAAGAAAAAGATCTTATTAAGAGAAATTCTTTGAATTTCAATTTCCGGGTCATAGAATATAAACATTTTAAAGATTTTCAATAATGCACCACCAGTTTATCCTCAGCAAAATAAAGCTCTCTCCTAACTGAACTATAGCCCCTTCAGACTCCCCCTGGGAAAGTATAAAATCTGCTTCTCCAAGAGCTTTTACATGTTTATATTTTTTTGATGTCAAAGCCACTCCTAAACAATGTAAATGAATGGAGTGAGTGTACATAGAAGTGGTACTATTTCCTCGCTTGTATTTAGAAACTAAACTATGCCTGAGAATTTCTCATTAAGTGAATTTGATGAAGACTTCCTGCCAGCAAACACGCCATAATCATTCATATTGTAGGCAGGGGAAGCATCTAGGAGCAAACTTCTGCATGGAGGTCCGTGCAAAGCCCAGTAACATAAACACGTGGAAAAAGGATGAGGCTGAAGATGGAGAACCAAGAGTGGGGCTCCTCAGAATCAAGGACACACGCTGGAGGACAGTCAGGGCCCAGAGCTCTGTGCACGCAGACTGGGTGGCAGGGGTAGGTGTGTGACTGATTATGGAAATGCCAGAGTCACAAGGGCCAGGTGTGGGCTTTGTCAGCATTAGAAGCCAGCCTGAAGCACTGCAGATGCTGCTATTGCTGTATATAAATAGTCACAGGCCGATAGTTCCTAAGAGAGTGAGAGACAACGGGACATAGGACTTGACCCCCCAAGGAAACACTGCAGCCCCCCTGACCATGAGCTACACAATGGAAGGCAATCTGGAGCTCATTTCTTCATCTAAACAATGGGCTCATCAGTAAACCTGTTCTAAGAAGCTTGTTGGGAGCACTGAGCGTGACAATGTGTGAGGGATCATTTGATGCCAAGCACTGGAGTAGTGTTTGGCATGTGACAAGCAATCCAGTCGGGCCCAGAGACAGAAGTTGAAAAAGCCAGGCAGCTAAGCAGACACCTTCATTTCTCATAGGAGATTTTCAGAGAATGGAAGCCAGAAGGAGCACGCCGTATCCTCTCTTCCAGGATCAGCTTCACCATGAACAATGCCGTCCTGGGGCTACTGGCGGACCAGGGCCACTGGCCCTCATGGAAGTTCAGGTCACTTGGCAAGAGGATGCCACTGTGGCTAGACTTGCATGCACCACATGTCGGCTCACACTGATAACCCTGGTAGGGCTGGAAGGCAGCACGTGGGAGGATGGATATAGACTTCAGTGGCAACCTCCTAACTCTCTTGCACTGAGCTGGCACTGAAGAAAGCCTGATGAAGGGACACGTGTGAGACCTGATGCCACAGTCCTCCCTCTGGGAGACAGAGGAGATTTCAAATCCCGAAGCTGCGAACAGGGGCCATCCCTGCCCAATGAACGGAAGAGCAGACGTTCCCAAGAGAACTTTACTCACGCGAGTGGAGCTGCAGTTCCTTCTCCTCATAGCCTCCTCTAAAAAAGGGGCCTTAAAAAAAGGTGAAGATCTAGGGGGCCTGGCCCTAGCTCAGTTCTTTAACTGGCTGCTTCCACAAAGCTGTCAGCCTCAGGTTGCTGTAGTTCGATCCCCACAACCCTCCATGAAGGCATTGGAGGAGAAAAAAAAAAATCCTTAGGGCTGGGGAGATGGCTCAGTAGGATAAGCGCTTGACTGGCAAACGCAAGGATCTGAGTTCAATCCCCGGTTGCGCAAAAAAAATAAATAAAAAGGTGAAGATCTAATCCCCTTGGATAAGAATGGGGCAGATCATCAGAAAGCCCAAGAGTAGAAGGCCACTAAATACATTATAATACTCAACTCTGATGCCATAGATGCGGCATTATGGACACTGACGTGTTGCTTCTCCTCCCCACATTCAGTTTACTCAGCTATGAAATAGGATCAACAGGGCAGGGCTTCTGAGAGCATCAGCACCAGGCAGGTGTTAGGATATTCATGTGGTTGGTGTGTTCTGTCATCTAAAAATACAAACTAATATGAATATTACAAAATAGTATTTACATTGTGAGCTCATGTTTATTGTTTCACATTTTTTTATATAAATAAATGGCAGAATAAGGTCTGGAGGAATAAGTCCTCAAATGGGGATGTGGGTGACCTCTGGCTGTTGGAACCACTGTGATCTGTGGTTTACACTTCTTTATATTATGTAGGTTTTTAAAAATATTAAGCATTGGGTATTTTTAATGACAATTAGAATGCAAGCAAGCAAGGAAGGAGGGAAATGAAAAGAAAAACAGGAATAGAAAAATAATTCCTCCAGTTTGATGGAATGCTGAAGGCACAGAGGAGGCTACAGGCAGCAATTTTAAAAGCTGATTAGTGTTCACAGTGACATGGGAAAATGCTTACAACATGATGTAAAGGGAAAACAAGGACACAGAACAGTTCATACTTCATTTCAGCTATGTGGAAAAAATGCATAGTAAAAGGATTTAAGAGAAAGACACCAAAATATGAGCAGTGATTGCTCCTGGGCATTTAGGTTATGGTTGACTAGTATTTCCTTAATACTACTTTCTATTTTCCAAGTTGCTTAAATTACGTCTATAATCAGAAAATATAAATAATTGGCAACATCGATGATAAGAATAAAGAATAAATAACTTCTCTTACTTGCTTGATGGAAACCAGCAGAACCAGAGCAAGGAAGGGCCTCCCTGGGGCCCAGAGCAAACGCGTCTTAGGAGGGCAGAGAGGGCCGGGCCCCTGGGAAGCAGGGATGTCCATACACAGCACCCAGACCCTGGGCCAGGGTCCCTTGCTGCTTGCTTCGGGCCCCAGCTGGTGCAGATGGGGCCTCATCGTCCTGGACACTTTCACCATTGTGGACACACTCCTCCAGCACTCCGAGATGGACCACAGGCAGCCTCGTCTTGCATTCCTCTTCTTTCAGAGAGGAAGTGTTTGTACAAATCTTCTGCACGCTGCTGGGAGCCTCTGAGGCAGTCTAGGGAGAACTAGTGAGTCCCAGTTTCTCATCCCCCGCCTGCCCCCCCAAAAGCAGGGAGATTTTTCAGACCTCCCCCAAGTCCCCAGGATTTCCTCAGCAGGCCCAGAGACACAGCAAAGCAGCCAGCGGCACCCGCCTGGGGGTTCTGCTCGAGGCACGAGCAGGAGTGAGAGCTGCTGGGGCTCAAGCTGGTGGAGAGCGTAGAACCTTGACCCAGTCAGGAGGCAGAGTCTGTGCATGGCATACAAGGCTTTCTCAGGAAGAAAGGTGGTCCAGGATGGTCTGAGACTGGCCACAGAGGCAGGGCCACTTCTGAGCCCTGGCTATACAAAGAAAATCAGGGGCAGTTGCCAGCCTGGAGCATAGTATTTCCTGAAGCCCAATCAGTGATTCAGATTCTCTCTGCACAATAGCACAACGAGGCGGTGACAAACCCAGCACTCCATCCTCTTGACGCCCACGCATGCCAAGCACAGCATTGTGTCCTGCTGGCACTGCCCTCAGCCCACCTGGAGGCCCTTTCATGGGATTCATGGTCCATGACTTGCTAGCCTACAGACTCGCCCATGCCTTCTCACCCCAATTCCCATTTGCAAAATCTTTTCATTCCTTATCCCACTTCATTCATTCACACAAGGACTCTCTGAGGGTGTGATGAAATCTCCACCTGACAGCTGAGAAACCTCGAGATCCTCAGAGGTCACTTCACCACACAGCAAGTGGAGGGCAGTGCCGGGGGAGCTGGGCCTTCCAAACAGTTACCGCGTGCTGTTGTACTCGGGAAGGCATTGTCTCCTGCACACAGCTCCTGATCTCTAGGAGGCTCTTTGCTGAGCCCTAAAAGGTTCTGCCCTCACTCCACCTCCCCTTGGCTAGCCCTGGCATCCCTTCCTACCTCTCCCAGCCTCTGGCATTGCAGGCCTTTGGAGAGGGTGAGAGGGAGGAAGGAAGTGATTCCAGAGTTCCTCTTCCTCCCTCTCTTTTTCCTTTCATTTATCTTTCCTTCTTCCCTTGTTTCCTTCTTTTTTTTCCTTTTTAGATCAAACCATAGCTCATCCTGCTAATTTATCTGATGGAACAAATTCAGAATATTTGGGAAAAAACAGGTGAGCACGACTTACTAGAAATCTTCAAAATGTCACATGGCAAGATTTTAAACCTTGTTTGCAAAGTGCTCAATCTGTAAAAAGAGCTCCAGAATATACTTTTATGGTGAAATGGCCTCATACAGAGAGTGGAGGAAATGACGGCTGCGGTCCACCGGATGTGGCTGTGAAACCATCCTACACCTGCACATCAAAGGTGATTCTCCAAGTTGCAAGTTGGTAAAGGAAATGCCTGCTGTCGTTGACTATTCTACTTCCTCTTTTTGAACTTTTTCTCAATTTTTTTTTTTCTTTTTTTTTTTTCTGAAGGGATAAGGGCTGGGTCCACTCATGACTCTTGCTTCTTGGATTATGGATCAGTGGATGCCATCTAGTGACAAAATGTAGTAATACTGCTTTCCCTGAGACGGTAGCCAACCAGGACACAAATGTACCACTTTGTAAGGCTGTAGAAATCCTGGAATAAAAGTTCTCAGGCAGGAACTGCACGGAGCGACTAGCCCAAGGTTACTGCCCTTTTCTCCTACCTTGCAAGGAGTGATAGCTGGAGGACTTCAGGAGCTAACAGAAAATCAAGAACCTGTGTGCTTCAGATGCCGTGCAGACCTCAGGCTTATTCATTACTTGTTTAGCTTTTTGCTTTTCCTGGAGTTCCTTAATAGCTTCCCTCTTCTCATCCTCTGAGAACTAAGTAAAAGTCAGTAAGAATGAACCCTCTGAGGGAGTTCATAATGCTCCTTAAAAATAGCTCAGTTCCCTGTTATGTGTATGTTACTACACATTATAAAGGGGTATCAGTGTCCCCCAGCCAGCTCCAATCTGGGGAGGTCTGAGGGCCAGCACTGTGCATGGGAACATGCCCCAGCCTGCGCCTCTTCCCATCTCAGGCCCGTGCTCACGTGGATGTGGATGTGGCACACAGAGGGCCTTCAGGTTCCCCCGGGGGACGTGAGGCGTCTAAGTCAGGATGCCAGATGGTGGGGATGAGGCGCGCAACCGGGGCGAGGCGGGGTGAGGCGGGGTCGAGCAGGCTGCTGCAGTGCACCTCATTTGGCCATGGACAGGACTAGGCACCAGCGAGCCCTGACCCTCTTTCCCACAGGCCTGGCCCTCGCCTTCTCGCTCGCCGCCGTAGGCAGCAGCCACTGGTGCGAAGGCACGGGGCGCACGATCAAGCCCCTGTGCCAGGACGCCCTGGGGGGTCCCGGCTGCATCCGCTTGACCTGGGCCAGCGGCAGTGGTGGTAACGAGAGTGATGCGAGCCAGGCTGTCCAGTACATTTGGGAGACCGGGGACGACAAGTACATCCAGCGAAGGTTCCACACCGGGCTCTGGCAGTCCTGCGAGGAGAGCTTCGACGGCACAGGTGAGCTCACTCACAGGCGCCCGGGTGACAGGTGCAGTCTGGTGGCCATGAGCAGGGACTCGGCAGCTGGACACCAGGGCTCGAATCCCAGCGCAACCTCAGATTGTCTGTGTACCCTCAACTGGTCCCCTCACTTCTGAGCCTTAGTTTTCTTGTTTCTGAAATGGGGACCATTGCAGTACTTATCTCCTGCTGATACTGTGAAGATTGGCTGGCTAGACCCCCATGAAGTACTTGCAAAATTCCTGGACACCTTGTGTTTATTTAAAATTAGTGTTTACCAACTGTCATGGTCACCCAGTCCCTAGAGAATCAAAGGTGACTCCCATCCAACTCTAAGCTATATCCCTGACATTTTTCCTTCACTTTATTTTTTTAATATTTATTTATTTATTGTCTTTTTGAGACAGGGTCTTGCTATGTAGTTCAAGGTAGCCTTGAGCTCACTTTGTAGCCCAGGCTGGTCTCAAACTCCCAATGATCTTCCTGCCTCTGGCTCCCAAGTGCTGGGATTACAGGTGTGTGCCACTGTGCCTGGCTCTCCTTCACTTTAAGGGTCATGAAACACAGGTTCTCTTTTTAAAAATTAGACTTTTACTGTCATCAGAGCACCTACCACCTCCACACACATAGACTTTTACCAGTCACATATATGCTTCAGAGAATATGTCAGAGGATCCTTGAAATAACCGTTCAAAGTAGATGTTATTTCTCAGCTCAAAACCAAGAAAAAAAGGCTCAGAGAGACTCCACTAGGGCAGCTATTTATCTCATGCCTATCTTATTCAGCCCCAATTCTTGGACATCTCTTGAACCTCTGTTGGTTTGAGGGGAAAGGTGGAAGAGCAAAAGGTAAAGAAAGACCAAAGAACAGGTATTTTCCATCAAGTATTGATGTGCTGAACTTTAAGTCCTTACAGAATATGAAGAAAAAAAAATTTTTAAATAGGAACAAACATATTTTCACACAGTAATTTAGAAATCTAACCATGTACAGCATTGTAGCAGGACAGTCCTGTGACATTTTTTTTCTTTTTCTTGTGTCTTTTTTTTTTTCATTTATTACCCATTTAAAAAAAAAAAACTTTTACTAGTGAGACAGTATAGTAATATAATTGGTATGTCATGACAAGAAGTACATATTTAGAAGAACAGAAATACCTGTTCCACATTATGCCTAAGATGTTTGATATTTAGACAGATAGGGTAAACCGAACTGCATATGTTGCAGGGTAATAATAAGCTTCTTTTCTGGAGAGTTAACAACCTAAGTTTGCAGATCAAAAGTTGGACAAAAGGAAGGGCTGCAAGGTCAGCCAAGATTTTGGTCCTAGCCTTTCAAGGTCAGTGAAGACTGAGGACATAGGAGAACCTGTTCCTATGTTATCATGTAACTCAGTTGTGTCTCAAATTTTCTGATCAAGGAGATTATGGAACCACAGAGGAAAGTGATCGATGATGTATAGTGTGCCTAAAGAGAGTCACATGGAGAGAAAACATTCTCTCA